GGCATGTACCTGGTTGCAGCACATCCCTAGTAGAGATGTGCAGAGCAGCTGATCGATGTTCTCTCTCATCGATGTTTCTAACTCTCTATCTCTCTCCCTTCCGCTCTGTAAAAAATCAATAAAATATATTTTAAAAAAAATTCTTGTTTTGATATTTTAAAAAGCAGATTAATAACATAATTATCTACAATCTACAGCAGTTTCCAATCCCCCAGGTTTCGGGCTTAACTTACAATGCCATTTGTGTGGGATATCAAGGATAACAAAGTAGATCCTTTACCTCTACTCAACAATGACAACTCACTATTCTATTGGAAATAAGGCCAGTTTGGATTATAGATTTGTTTTTGAAAAATACATTTCTTCTGCCTTTACATTTACAGCTTTAACTAGGGTAATGAGAGTTTGGCAAGTAGGTTTGCGGCACATCTTTAAGTTAATTAAAGCATATCAGTTGTAAGTAAACTATTGATGTTTCAGTACATCTAAGCAGTTAATATTTATTACGTAAGTATGATAGACTAGATATGGATATGAGTTTTATCTCCATGGTCTGTCTTATTTACTCCTCACAGTAACCACATGAGGTAGGCATTAACTCTACTTTCCAGGTGAATACACTAGGACTCAGGTTAAAATGCCTAAGGTCTCATTGTCTCCAGGTGTATTGTACTTGTAAGTGTATGCTCTTAACCAGTGCTCCATCTGCCTCTGTGCTACGGATTACCATTATAGTTTTTAATCTATAAGTTGGTTTAATTTGCCATTTTCTTATTTGGGGAGGGGGCGTCATTTATTAAGCACTTATTATGCATCAGGAAATGTACTAAGACCTCTAAGAACATTATCTGTTCTATGCCTTAATCCTCACAACTACCCTGTCTATAGGTTTTATGTGTCTTATTTACAGGAGAGGAAAACTGAATCTCAGAGAGAGTAGGTAATTTCTCTAACATCACAGCTTGCAAATGCTAGAGCTGAGCTCTACAACATGAAGTGGAGAATTGTCTCTGAGATTTAGAGAGGGCAGTAAAGGATTTGCATGATGGAAGGAACGGGTTCAGATGACCGTTAGTTAATGATGCCATCACCTGGCTCTGGGAAGTAGGGTGGTTAGTGTGTGTGGTCTGGAAGGGGAGCCAGAAAGAGCTATTTACTTGGATGATCTCCCTGGTTCTGGACAGGGTTCCCATCTGTCTTGACCTTGGCCTGCTAGCGGGTCTTCTGAAAGCTGCTCATGTATAGCTGGTGGTTCAGGCTCTGCCCAGCCATGATGGTATTAATGGTTACAGCAGGCCCGAAGAGTTCTCAGGGGTGGGAGCCAGAGTTGCTCTGTGCAAATTCAACAGTGTACCCAGCCAGTTTGCTGGTAGAGGAAGAGCAATGTGATACTCTTCGAATATACAGATGACATACACCATTGACTAGGAGTCTGCCCATGGTAGATATGAATTTTCAGAGCCTTGAACAGCAGTGCTCTTTATCACAAGGGGACAAGGTTGAGGCTGGAGTTCAGGTAGTATTGCATAATCCGTGAATGGAGACTATGTGTCATTCACTCATTTAACATTTTTGAGCAGCTGCCATATTCCAGGTCAGTGTCCTGGGCTCTGGGGATTCAACCATTAAAAAGACAAAGTCTCTACCAGAAGGAGCTAATATTCCAGTGGGAGGAGACAAGACAAAACACACACACACACACACACGTCACATCCAGTAGGAATACATGCTATGAAGGAAAGTAAAGCTGGGTAAGAGTCAGACAAGGGTGAGTGGGCAGGAGGTGGCTGCTATTTTACTTGGGTGGTCAGGGAAGGCCTGTCTGTAGAGATGACATATGAATGGAGACTTGAAGGAAGTGAAGGGTAAGCCATGTGGATATCTGGGGGAAGAAAAAACATGGCAAGTGCAAGACCCTTGAGATGGAAGCATGCTTGGCACATTCAGGGATCAGCAAGGAGACAATGCCTAAAGCAGTGAGTGAGGAAGAGCAGGCTTGAAGACAAGTCAGAGAGGGAAGCCATGGTGAGTACTCTGCATTGTACTCAGAGAAATGGGAAGCCTTTGAAAATAACCGCAGAAGACGGCTATGACATCATGTACATTTTTAAAGGAGCACTTCAGCTGCCATGTGGTGGGAGTATGCATTCCATGGTGGACACAGAGGTGAGTTTGGCAGCTATGGCAATAATCCCAGGAGACATATGGTGACACAGACAGAGGGGTGGTCCTGGTTACATTTTGAAGGAATCGATGATAAGATTG